TGGCTGGACTGAAAGACCCATAGAAGACCTGGACCTTTGGCCTCCTAATATGGGACAGGAGGGAGGAGCTGTAGCCCTGGAGACAGACTTGAGCACTGAGGATCCCCTGCCCATGCTGACCAGTTAATGGACTCTCAGCCCATCAGGAGTCATGGATGGCACTGCTATGACCATGACACCCAAAGCTGCGAGAGCCCAAGAACTTCTCAGGGTCCCAACCTCCCACATTCCAGAGCTCCTGGAAGTCAAAGCTGAACTCACAGGGCACACAGAGCTGGGTCCCTGAGCATGGTCCCAAAGAAGTTTGTTGAGGCATGTCAGTAGCACTGGGAATGTATTACTCAGCAGCCAGATTGTTTAATGAAAAGCTATAGCTAAGTAGTTTGGAAACTTCCCTGCACTGCTGAGAGATGAACTGGGCTGCCCTCTGCCCGGCACACTCTGGGGGCACTGGAGGCAGGATGTGGTTTAACAGCCCTGATTGGTGAACCTGATTTCAGTGGCTGGCTGAGTGGCTGTAAAATCAGGAAGTGAGGAGGGTTTTGTGTTGCCTCCCAGTCCCTCCTTCAAGAGCTTGCTCTGGATAAAATGCCAAACACACCGGTTGTGGTTGTGCTTTGCTGCCTTCTGCTCCCCTTTTGCCCCTTAACTGCCTGTAATACTGTCCCAGAATTTCCAGGAGAATTTGCTTTTTTGTGGAGACTGGGATGAGCAGAGACATCCAGACAGATCTGTTTTTGCAAGGAAACAGATGCCCTTCATCCCACTAGGTGCCTGGCCCCCTAGGTCTCCCACAGAGACAGGCCTGTCACCGCCTGCATGAAGAGGCCAGACTCTCCTTGTCAATGTACAGGAGGGAGAAAGAGAGGGGGGTGGGAGAGAAGGGGAGAGAATGAGAGTGAGGGATAGGGGAGAAGGAGAGAGGGAGACAGAGAAACTATTTTGGAAGCAAAGAAGACAGAAAAAGGACCAATGAGGGATGAAATAAATTAACCTGGTCCAGTAACCCAACCCAAGGGCTTGTCGAGGGCTTCCAGGGGCCTTGCAGCCATGCCCAGGCCAGACCCAGGCATTCCCCAAAGCCTGTGGGTTAGACTGTGTCTCTGTGTGCACTCCTCATTTCCTGCTAGGGCCTGTCTCCATGCACCAAACAACAGTGACTCAGCTTTATAAATAGGACATTTACAGTGAAAATTACAGGAAATTCCCAGAGTCTCCTGCCTGGGCTTATTTTAGGTGTGCAACTTCTCCTGTGAAGCCCCAGCTCCCTCCCCCAGCCTCTGCTTCTTGCAGCATCCTTGGATATCAGTGGAGGCAGCTCTGCTCTGTGCCTGGAAACTGCCCCAGGAGGTTTGAGAGGTACAGCACTGGAAGCATCAACCTCAGCTCTGCTCAGACACCCCTGGGTAACAGCAGGTCCCATGTGGCTGGCACTTCCATGTGCCCAGCCCTGCACTCTGTTACTTTACTGACTCTCAGGAAGAAGGAACATTTATGTTGAACACTTTGTGGATGAGGAAATTAGAATTCAAACTCACGTCTGACTTACTCCAGATCTCCAGTAGCCCAGTTATCTTCCCGTTCCTTCTTTCCCCTATGACACACTTCTTGGCAGGAGGTCTTTTCAGGAAAGCCAGAGTTGACAGCTGACAGCTGCCTACACAGGG